AGCCCCAGCAAGCCTCGCTTAGTGCAGGCTGAACTCACAGGCAGAAGAGGGAGAAGATTCATGGGACTCAGACTCTTTTGGCTGCCCACAAAGAGGTTTCCTTGGACCCACTGCAGTAGGTTGCACTACAGGGCTTGTTCCAAGAAAAATATACAAAAAAAAAAAAAAAATCTTGCATCCTGAGGAGGAGGAGGAAGAAGAGACAGGGTCTTGATTTCCCAACTGGCAGGCATCATAGTCATGCTATCCCCACTCCTCGCATATCCTGCTTGGTATGACTCTCTTGCTTGGCCTCCTTATTTTCCTGGCCCCACTTTCTTTTTTAAGATTTTTTTTACTTATTTGAAAGGTAGAGTTAGAGAAAGGCAGGGAGGGTGGTAGAGAAAAAGAGATTTTTCCTTCTGCTGGTTCACTCCCCAAAAGGCCACGACAGTCAGCCTGGGCCAGGCCAAAACCAAGATCTGGGAACTCCACCTGGGTTTCCCATATGGGTAGAAAAGGTCCAGGTACTTGGGGGCCATCTTCGGCTGCCTTCCCATGTGGTTAGCAGGGAGCTGGATCAGAAGCAGAGCCGCCAGGACTCCAGCTAGTGCTCTGATATGGGATACCAGTGCTTCAGGCAACTGCTAAACCTGCTGTACAACACCAGCCTCTCCTGGCCCCACTCTCTTATCTCCCTTAGTTTTTTGTCCATGGGATAACATCTTAGTAAATCATTTTCACACACACCCTTGTCTTAAGATCAAGTTTGGGGAACCCACTTCTCACCATCTTAACACCATCATTAGGGTTCTTGATGTCATCCAGTATTCTAGAATCTGATCCTAAAGCTCTGTTTGCTAAGGCCTTGCCTGGTACTATCTGGATTAGTCTAGTCCCCTTGAAAGCAGACCCTGAGATAAAGACCAGGGTACAGATAGTGTATATGATACGTAATCCCAGGAAGCAGGAGTGGAAGAGTGGGAAGGGTGATGTAGCTTTAGTGGAAACCCTGCAGTATCCTCAACAGAAAACACCCAATTGGCCCAAGAATCAATTCCAGCAAAGATGTGAGAATGGGAATTAAAGATTCCCTAAGTCAGCTGCTGGCAGCAGTGGTGAGAAAGACCACTCAAGTTTCATCCCTTGGTCCCAGCGCTGTGTACTCTCCCTATCAAGGCTACAATAGCAGCCTATAGTTCAAAGCATACTGTGTATCCTGAAGGACAGCACTCCAACATGCAGGGTGCGATCTCTAAGCTGATCCATCACTCCAGTAGTCTATCAGGCCAGGACCATCTCGGTGTGAGTCTTAACGATAAGACCAGTGAAGCTCATGATTGTGGGCTTTGCTCATTCTCATCCAGTGTGTGAAATGCCAGGCTTAATTCAAGAAAAATGTTATTTGGATCCCACAACAGTATCTCAGGCCCTCTTGAACGGTGCTGTTGGCCAAGCACCCAAAATAGATAATGATCCCAGTGAATTGCTACATCCATAGAGTGGGAGATTGTCAATGTAGTCAACTTGCTACTGCCTGATGTGTTATATCTTAATGTTAGCCGTCGCAAAGCACACCGGACACCGGAGTAAGGGAAAGGGTTTATTGGGGAACACCCTACAGACCGGAGTGAAGGGGTGGCGAAGGAAAAAAGAGAGAAGGAGACTGTGAGTGAGAGACAGAGGAGGGAGAAGAAAGAGGAGAGAAGCCAAGAGAGGCCAAGAGAGCGCAGGAGAGAAGGACCGAGAGAGCTCAGAGCTCGCAGGAACAGGCCCTTTTAAAACTTTGCCTGAGGGTGGGCAGGGAAGCAGGAGCAGTGAATCCCATTAGGATGGGGGTGGAGCCTGGCTCAGGGTGGAGCCATGCGGCCACCTGGCTACAACTGCGCCAGTTTCCTAACATGATGGGTATCATTTTTGAGGACTCACAACAGTCTCTACTACCCAAAAAGTAGTTACTCAGTAGTACCAATAGCTAAATCAGTATGGTGAGAAACTAAACTCGAGACAATGGGTCACAAAGGGACTATGTGACCAGGGCTACCATCACAAGCTGGGTATTGTCGGCGCCACCAATTCATGAGGGCTCTGCTGTAGTCTGGATATGGTTTGTCCCCTCTGAAGCCCATGTTGAAATTTGATTGTCATTGTGGGAGTGTGGGGGGTGGACCTTTCGGCAGTGGGTAGGTCAACAAGAGGGATTGATGCCTTTGTATGGGCTTCCTCCTGGGTGAGGGGGTCATTATTCAGTGAGACTGTGCCTCATGATTTGCCTCCTCCACATCTGCCCATCTGAATTTCTGGCTTTTCACCGTGAGTTCAAGCAGTTCGAGGCTTTTGCTGGCACGATGACCTTGGACTTCATAGCCTCCACATCAGGAGACAAAATAAATCTCTCTCCTTTCTGAAGTACCCAGGCTCAGGTACTTTATTTTAGCAACAGCAATCAGCTGAAGTAGGCTCCTTCTCACCAAGGCTCCCCTAGTGTGTAATAGAGCTGTACACTGGATCTAAGTTCCAAAGAGCCCCTACTAAGTGCTTTGCCATCCTCTTAGTGGTAGGAAGTGAAGGTGCAATGATTTATCTTCCCCTTAGAAGGGCTATCTCAGTATGCCTTAGGCCACTGGATACCTAAATACTTCCCTAAAGTGGTGGCCCTCTTATTTTTAGTGGAGTTTACTGTTCACACTCTGGCATTCATGCAATACATTTAATACTTTCTGATCCACAAGATTCAAACAGCATGATGCCATCAATATGGTACCCCACTGTGATTCTCTGTGACAATCTGTCTTAGGCTACACTACGACAAAGAGCAGGAGAATTAACTTGGAGCAGACTCTAGTTCTGTAAACTTGAATAGTCAGTTATACTAACGGCCTCAGGCACAAGGGTTTCTTTTCCATGCACCTACACTGAGTGCTCCTAAGAAAGAATGGGAGCAAGCAGAAAACCACAGTGACTCTCTGATGGTTCAGGCGCGCGGGAAACAGCCCTGCAGCAAAAGGTCCCAAACTCTCCCCTCTCTTCAAAACTGCTCTCCTCTGTGAAGCAGAAGGCTTAAGCTACTGGCAGCAAAGCAGAAAACTGTTTCTTCCAGAATACAAGCAAACGCCAGTAACCATGAAGAAGAGGAGTAGAAGAGAGACCCCCAGCCCTGGGGGAAGCACAGAAAACCATTCCGAGTCCAGACTCAACACCAGGCAGGGGAAAAAAGTCTGCTATCACTGGCCGAGGAGTGGGAAACTCCTGCCCAAAACCCATCTCAGAGCTAAGCCTGAGTTTGGTTGCCACAGGGAAGAAGGGCAGCAGTGCTGACAAGGCCCCATCCCCAAGGTCCAGGTACACGGGGCCTGCCCAAGACTGCAGCTAGTCCAGGACAACAGGGAAGGTCCCCTGCCCCCTTCAGGAGCCTAGCACAAAATAGCAAACTGCAGCGGGCTGATTCTAGCAAAGGAGAAAGATCCTGGAAGAAAACGCTCTTCACAGGAGCACACTGAGAGAGCTAATGCTGAAAGTGATGCACTGACCTTGAGAAAAAGCCTCTGGTCCCAGCCCTGGCCTTAAGTAGAAGCCAGCAGTAGGACAATACTCAAGGCTTAACTTTGTGATACACAGAAAGACAAGACAGCAGCAGTAAAGCCCAAGCCCAACTCAACCTCTGACTAGACTGACTCAACTCCCCTCACTATCTAACAAAAAGAAGCATGCCCGTATCCAAACATAAATGCCATTTACCTCAGTGGCCATTGTTCTACGTTTATGTTCACCATTGAATCAAAAAGTATGAGTTTCGGGGTGGCGTTTTGGCATAGGAGGTAAAACCTCCACTTGCGACACCGCATCCCATATGGGCACTGGCTGGGGTCCAGCCTGCTCCCCACTTCCAATCCAGCTCCCTGCTAATGTGCCTGGGAAGACAGCAGAAGATGGCCCAGAGGTTTGGGCCCATACACCTATGTGGGAGACCCAGAGGGAGCTCCTGGCTCCTGGCTTCAGTTTGGCCCAGCCCTGGCTGTTGTGGCCATTTGGGAAGAGAACCAGTGGAGGGAAGACCATCCTGTCTCTTCCTTTGTCTAACTCTGACTTTCAAATAAACAAATAAATCTTAAAAAAAAAAAAAAAAAAAAAAAAAAAAAAAAAAAAACTTTACAGAAGCTGACAAGGAGGAACTGGAGTAGAAGAAGAAGCGGATCTTCCACAGGTTCACCTACCGTGGTGTGGACCTCGACCAGCGGTGGACATGTCCCACGAGCGGCTGACGTAGCTACACAGCGTCTGGCTCCTGATGCGCCTGCGCAACGCCAAGACAGAGGCGCTGCGGTGGAGAAGCCGGAAGTGATGACTTCGGTCCTGTGGGACTTGATCCTCCTGCCCTTGCTGGTGGGCAGCACGGTGGGCGTGTACAGCGACAGACCTTCAGCAGGTGGAAATTAAGCCAGGGATGATCATTTACAGGCCTGTGAAGCACGGCCGGCTGAGCATCAGGGCCACCCACGCCGTCTGCTTCGTTCTCCTCAAGTAGCCCTCAGCAGTGAAGGCGCGCCTTTCCAGTGTGGAAAAATAAAAATAACAATGAGCTGCACAAGTGTAAGTTAAAAAAATTATTGCATGGAGATAAAGCAATCAACAGAACCAGACTCAGAGATGACCTATATGTTGGAATTAACAGATGAAAGCTTAAAAATGACCATGGTTGATATTTAAAATACTTACTGGAAAAGGTGGCTAGCATAAATGAACACGTGGGGGATTTCAGCAAAGAATGGAAACTACAGGAAAGAGTCCACTAGAAACGTTAGAAATAAAAACATGACATCAAGGATGAAGAATCCAATTCATTCTATTTCAGTAGTGTCATCAATGAACTCAAATTGCTAGTAAAAGAATCAGTGAACTGGAAGATAAATAGAAATCATCCAAACTGAAACGCAAAAAAGAAGAAAAATAAAAAAAAAAAAAAAACAAGGAATCCACTAGTAGTGAGGCAATATAATCAGTCTTACATATGCGTAATTGTGATCCAAGAATGATAAGAGTGAGGAAACAGAGCAGAAGCAATATTTGAAGTAATAATGGCCAATTATTTCTCAAAATGAATAAAGGTATCAAACCCACAGTACAGGAATCTTAAGGAACTTTAAGCAGAATAAATAGGGATAAAACATAATAAGTATGGATAAAACACACAGACATGCAGAGACATTCAAACTTCTGTAAACAAAAAAATAAAAAGGAAATCCTAAAGTCAGTGCTAAAAGAAATATATGCAGAGGCTTACAAAAGACTTCTCATTAGAAACAATTCAACAAACTTGTTGGAACTTCAGCGGATCTATAGGCGAGTTTGGGAATTTATATGATATTGAGCCAACCAACCTTGGACACATCTTTCTTCATTTGGTGAGTCTTTCTTTAATGTCTCTTAGTAATTTTAAAGACATCTGCACAAAGGACTTGCACCTGTTTTGTTTTCTTTATTCTTATTTATTTTTAAAATCTATTTATTTATTTGAGAGAGACACAGAAGAAGAGAGACAGAGAGGGAGTTCCCATTTGATGGTTCACTTCCCAGATGACCACAACAGTTAGGGAGCCAAAGCTGGGTACCTGGGACTCAATCCCTGACTCCCTCATGGATGGCAGGAACCCAGTAATTTAAGCTATCTCCTCTAGGGTTTGCATTGGCAGCAAGCTGGAATCAGAAGCCAGAGCTAGGTATCTGAATTCAGGTACTAGGATATAGGCTACAAACGTCTTAACCACTAGATTAAATGCCTGACCCTATTTATTTTTAAGATTTATTTATTTAGTTTATTCCCCCAAGTGGCCACAATGGCTGGAGCTGAGCCAATCCCAAGCCAGGAGCCTGGAGCTTCCAGGTCTCCCACGTGGGGCAGGGTCCCAAGAACTTGCTTTCCCAGGCCATAGCAGAGAGCTGGATGGGAAGTAGAGCAGCCGGGACTGGCACCCATATGGAATGCTGGCACTGCAGGCAGTGGCCTCACTCGCTACACCACAGTGCTTGACCTCTATTTGATATTTTTATGACATTGTTAATGGCATCTTTCTTTTTAATTGTTTTCCATCGTTGTGTCGCTAATATATAATACTGCAAATTATTTTTGCATATTTGAGTTTGTTCATGCACACTATAAGGCTTGATAAGACTGTTCTGTAGCAGCAAAATTCATAGAAACCAAAAATTAAACACAATATGAAGTTCTATCAAAAATAGAATGGATAAATTGTGGCATAGATATGTAATGAAATATGAACTTGTTATTGTGTATAATAAGTCACCCCAAAACTCAATGGCTTAAAAGAACAACCTTTGTGTTTAGTTTACCATTCCATGGATGAGCTCCGCAGGTAGATTGTTCTGGTTTCAGTTGAGCTGCCTCACACACCTGTGACCAGATGTGAGTCAACTTTGCTAATCTTAGCTAGACTCACATCTCTAAGGCTGCAGCTCAGACAACCAGGCTAACTCAGCTCTGGTCCACATATTTCATTGTCCAGCCATCTGGTGCAGACTTATTCACATGGCAGAGCCAGGAGTCCCAAGGCACAGAGCAGAAGCAAAGACCTCTGGAGCCCTAAGCTCAAGTGGGTATGTGGTAAATTTCACCTGAACAAGTCACAATACCAGCACAGATTCAAGGGAAGTGATGCCATCTCTTGATGGGAGGAGCCTTAAGGTCACATTGCAAAAGGCTTGGCTATAGGGAGGAATAAAGGATTGTAGACATTTCTTTAACCTACCACAGAAAATGGAGTGAAATGAAAATAATAAGCTGCTTTTATACACAACAATGTGGATGAATGTCATAATTCATGTTGAAATTAACCAGGCATAAAAGAATGTGTGGTGTACAGTTCTTTTTATATAAAGTTTAAAAAATAGACTAAAGTATAGCATTTATGGATGCATGGGAAGATAGCCACTGGAATGGTAGTAGAAAGGCATTATGATTGAGATGCAACATGCAGAGACTTTTGAGGTTACTGTCAGTGATCATTTCTTAATCTTGAGTGGAGTAACCTAGGTGACCATTATAAGTCATTAAGTGGTATATTTACATTTTGTGTGTTTTTCTTTGTGTTACATCTCAGTTTTTTTTTAAGTTAAATATGGCACTGGCACAAGAACAAAAGTTGGACAAATGGAACAGAATAAAGAACTGAGAAATAGTTTATTCCTATAGATGAGAATTTGATACATAGTAAATCTTGTGTTTCAATTTAATGACAAAAGCACACATTGCTTAGAAGATGGTGTTATCAAAATTGTCTCACTAGAGAGGAAAAAAATTAAATTGGATCTCTACCTACAAAGTACACAGGAGAACTGTGGAAGGATTAATGCCATCAAGGAAAAAGGTTGTAAGTTAATGGTAAGTACTGTGGGTTAATATCTCCCTGACAAGTAAGGCAGAGAAAGACTTCTCTTTTTATAAAGATTTATTTATTTTTATTTGAAAGAGTAACACAAAGAAAGAAGAGGCAGAGAGAGAGAGAGAGAGAGAGAGAGAGGTCTTCCATCCGCTGGTTCACTCCCTCATTGGCCGCAACTGCCGGAGCTGTGCTGATCCGAAGCCAGGAGCCAGGAGCTTCCTCCAGGTCTCCCATGCAGGTGCAGGGGCCCAAGGACTTGGGCCATCTTCTACTGCTTTCCCAGGCCACAGCAGAGAGCTGGATGGGAAGTGGAGCAGCCGGGACTTGAACCGGCACCCATATGGGATGCACTACAGGTGACAGCTTTACCTGCTACATCACATTGTTGGCCCCTGAGAAGGACTTCTAAAAAACAAAAACAAAAACAAAGAATAAATCTTACTATCAAAGCTGATTGAGTTAATTGCATCAAATTAAGAAATATGTCATTAAAGGACATCCAGACCAAAGTTAATAAACAGATGTGGAATAAATAAATAAATAAAAATAAAATAAGTAAATAAAAATAAAATAAATAGGTGCAGGGCCGGCCTTGTGGTGAAGTGGTGAGGCAGTTAAGCAGCTGCTTAGAATGCCAGCATCCCTCATCCTAGTGCCAGTTGGGTCCCAACTACTCCACTTCTGATTCAGCCGCCTGCTAACGTGCCTGGAAGCAGCAGGCAATAACCCAAGTACTTGGGTTCCTGTTGCCCATATGCAAGTCCCAGATGGAGTTCCTGGCTCCTGGCTTCCACCTGCCCCACTCCTAGCTCTTTCGTGGCCCAGTCCGGCTGTTGCGGCCATTTGGGATTGGACCAGCAGATGAAAGATCTCTCTCTCTCTCTCTCTCTCTCCCTCTGTCACTTTGCCTTCCAAATAAATAAATAAAGCATTTTAAAAATAAATATGAATTAGACTGATGCAACAGTCTAAATATTCCCACAATTTTATAGACCATTTATATTTTTCCTGTGAACTGTCTGCTCTTATAACTTGCCTATTTTCTTCTGAGTTGTTTTACTTTCCTATTCATTTGTATGAGGGTTATTTTGCAAATTGAGGCAATTAGCCATTTTATCATATGTTCTGCAATTACGTTTTCACAGTCTGTCTTGTCTTTGCCAAACAGAAGTTTTAAATTTTTACACAGTCAAATTTATCAATCTGTTCCTTTATGGTTTCTGGGGAATAGATATTTTAAATCTTGGAAGTTTAAGTGCTTTACAGAGATGACTGACTGGAAGGTCTGAGGTGAAGAGGGAGGAGGGGAGTAACTGAGACAATTGCAACTTGAAGGAGAAAGAAAGAATTGAAATGAAGAAGTGTCAGGGGTGCTGGTGGCAGCAGGAACAGCCACCCCACTCTGGCCAGTTTCTAGAGCAGCAACAGCCAGCACGACCTCTAGATCCATCTTCCTCAAGGGAGCCCTTAGCTACACCTCTGAGCAGCCCAGACTGGTCCTGGGACATGGGATAAGACATCGTGCTTGCTGGACTCCTGGGAGGAGGAAATTCCCCAGAGAAAGTACTGGTTACCTGTGCTTCAGAGGATATTTCAAAGTAGAATGTCTTTGTTTATTAAGTTGGTAACATAAGACATCCTTGTAGTATAAACCCCACAGTCTGGTTTTCTCCGCTAGAGCTTCAAGAAAGTTTAAGATTGAAAAAGTATTGGGGCCACTGCTGTGGTGTAGTGGGTAAAGCTGCTGCCTGCAGTGCTGGCATCCCATACAGGTGCCAGTTTGAGTCCAGGCTGCTCCACTTCTGTTCCAGCTCTCTGCTATGGCCTGGGAAAGCAGTAGAAGATGGCCCAAGTCCTTGGGCCCCTGCACCCGCGTGTGAGACCCAAAAGAAGCTCCTGACTCCTGGCTTCAGATTGGCACAGCTCTGGCCGTTGCAGCCACTTGGGGAGTGAACCAGCAGATGGAAGACCTCTCTCTCTCTCTCTCTCTCTCTCTCTGCCTCTCCTTCTCTCTGTGTGTAACTCTGACTTTCAAGTAAATAAATAAATCTAAAAAAAATTTGAGAAAATAGATTTATTTGAGTCTTCTTGGTTAGTCTTGGTTAGACTAGCTAAGAGTTTGTTAATTATTTATTTGTTTTTCAAAAAAACCAACTCCGGCGCCGGCACACCGGGTTCTAGTCCCGGTCAGGGCGCCGGATTCTGTCCCGGTTGCCCCTCTTCCAGGCCTGCCCTCTGCTGTGGCCAGGGAGTGCAGTGGAGGATGGCCCAGGTGCTTGGGCCCTGCACCCCATGGGAGACCAGGAAAAGCACCTGGCTCCTGGCTCCTGCCATCGGATCAGCGCGGTGCGCCGGCCGCAGCGCGCCGGCCACGGCGGCCATTGGAGGGTGAACCAACGGCAAAAGGAAGGCCTTTCTCTCTGTCTCTCTCTCAACTCATAGCTTCATTGATCTCTTCTGTTATTTTTTATTTCTATTTCATTAATTTCTACTTTAATCTTTATTTCTTTCCTCCTGAAAACTTTGGGTTTAGTTTGTTCTTCTTTTTCTACTTCCCTGAGGTAAACATAGGTTGTTTATAGGAAATCATTCTTTTTTCTTAATGTAGGCATTTATAGCTATAAACTTTCTCTCAGAACTGCTTTTGCTGCATCCCATAAGTTTTAGTATGCTAAGTTGTCATTTTTGTTTGTCTCAAAATATATTCTGATTTCTTTTCTTATTGGTCCTTTGAGCCACTGCCTGTTCAGAACTGTGTTATTTAATTTACACATATTTGTGAATTTTCTAATCTTCCTCCCATTGGATAACCTAGAAGAAGTGAATAAAGTCTTAGATTCACACAACCTACCAAGAGTGAATCATGAATAAATGGAAAACCTGAGCAAAGCGATCGCAGGAGTCCTCAAACACTCCTCACCCTTTAAGAAAAGTCCAAGAGCGGACCCTTCACAAGTGAATTCTACCAAACATTTCAAGGAAAATTCATGCCAATCCTACTCAGACTCTTCCAAAAAAAAAAAATGGAAGAAGAGGGAACACTCCAAACTCACTTTATCAGATGAGCATCATCCTGATCCAAAAGCCAAAAAAGACGCTAAAGGAAAAGCGAATCACGGGCCATTATGCAGACAAATGTAGATGCAAAGCTTCTCGGCCAGCGCCGCGGCTCACTAGGCTAATCCTCTGCCTTGCGGCACCGGCACACTGGGTTCTATTCCCGGTCGGGGCGCCAGATTCTGTCCCGGTTGCCCCTCTTCCAGGCCAGCTCTCTGCTGTGGCCAAGGAGTGCAGTGGAGGATGGCCCAAGCACTTGGGCCCTGCACCCCATGGGAGACCAGGAGAAGCACCTGGCTCCTGCCATCGGATCAGCGCGGTGCACCGGCCACAGCACGCCTGCCACCGGCAGCCATTGGAGGATGAACCAACGGCAAAGGAAGACCTTTCTCTCTGTCTGTCTCTCACTGTCCAAACTGAATAGCACATTAGAAGGATCATTCATTATGATCAAGTGGGATTTACCCACAGGATGCAAGGATGCATCAACATACGCAAATCAATGAATGTGATACAGACAAAGGATAAAAAAAAAATCAAATGATCAGGGGCCAGCGCTGTGGCACAGCAGGTAAAGCAGCCGCCTGCAGTGCCAGCATCTCGTACAGGCATCAGTTCAAGTCCCAGCTGCTCCACTTCCGATCCAGCTCCCTGCTGATGTGCCTGGGAGAGCAGTAGAAGATGGCATAAGTCCTTGGGCCCCTGCACCCACGTGGGAGACCTGGAAGAAGCTCCTGGCT